CATTGTCTCTGTTTCTATCTCTGTCCCTAGGGATATATTTTATATATTCTTATTCCTTGATGCACCTCCATTGTCTGTCTGTCTCCTTTATTATTATTATTATTGCTGCTGCTGATGTTGCTGCTGCTGCTGCTGCTGTTGCTGCTGCTGCTGCTGCTGCAGAGATAGAGCCTGAGAAGGTGGTGCTGCAGGTTATGTACATCGATACGGATCGCGGGGCTGTTATTATGTCAGACCCTAACTTTGATGAGGCATGTCTCCTTTTAAGTTTTTGTTTCTTTTGTCTCTTTCTATTTGCTTCTTTATTTCTTCTGCGTCTCCTTCCAGTTGTCTCCTCCACCATCTGTCTCCCCCTCGGTGTCTTCGTCTGTCCCTTTATCTGTCTCTTCATCTGTCCCTTTATCTGTCTCCTTCTCTGTGTCTTTATATTTATATCTATACATCTCTTTATCTGTCCCTGTCTGTCTCTTAAAGTGTCTCCTTTTATATCTTTTTCTGTCTTTCTTTGACTTACTAATCCTCTCAGTGTCTCTTCACCTGTCTCCTCCTGTCTCCTTTACTGTCCCTGTCTCTGTTTTATTGTTTGTTGTGTTGGGGTCTTTGTCTATTTGTGTACAGCTTCAGCTGTCTCTATTTACTCTTTTTGTTTGTATTTGTCTCCTCTTGCAGCTGTCTTCCCTTCCGGTGTCTCCTTTTGTCTTCTGCTGTCTCTGCAGGTCTCTGTCCCCCTCCGCCTTTTTGGGGGCCCCTCAATGGCTGAACATTTAACTCGTGGGTCTCTTATAAGCAAGGAGACAGACAGTTCTTTCTTTGGTTTGCTGCTCGATTGTTGCTGCTGCTGCGCTGTTGCTGCTGCTGCTGCTGTGCGGTTGCTACTGCCACTGAGCTGTTTCTCTTACTGTGTTGCTGCTGCCGTGCTGCTGCTGCTGCTGCTGTGCTGCTGCAGCGGAGCTGCAGGTGTCTGTGTGGATGCATGAGGGCGAGCCAGTGAAGGTCCAGCTGCCAACGTCTATTCTGACTCTGCTGAGGTGCGCTGGGGCTGCATGCATGCATGCAGCCCTTTAAGAGTGTGTCCCCTATCTGTGTCTCCCAGCAGCAGCAGCAGCCAGTAGCAGCAGCAGCAGCCAGTAGCAGCTAGCGAAATACAACGAAGCCTGCACCCCTAGCCCCTAAGCCTCAGGAGACAACGCCAGAGAAGGAGACACAAATGAGCAGCTGAGACGCTGTTACCAATAAACAATCCGTGGAGACACCTGGTTGCATGCATGCATTGCATGCATGCACGCATGCGTGCATGCATTTGTGCATGCGACAGCCCCAACATTTCTTTGAGGGTGCGCTTGTGTTGCGGTGTCTCTGCAGAGGAAAAAAATGAAAATAGGCAGACAAGGCGAAAGGAGACAAAACAAAACAAAAACAGCAACAAGCGAGGGGACACCTCGGGGCTTTGGGTTGTTTTGCATGCATGCATGCATACATGCATGAGCGGGACCCACAAAAGGTCTCTTTATATCTCTCTTTGTTTTTAAAAGAGAGACAAGATGCATACATGCATGCAGCGAGCAAAAGAGACAGACACAGAACAACAAAATGCTGCTGCATCCTGCAGCCTCCTCCCTCTCTGCCTCGTTAAGGGGCCTCTATCTAAACTTTAAAAAGGAGACACTTTAAGCTCGCTGTCTCCTCTACTCGGGTGTCTTTACAGCCCCAGCTGTCAGCCCCACAACCAGCAGCAACAGCTGGAGGGAGGGGACTGTTTGCTGCAGTTACTGCAGCACATGGGATCCCCAAGGGGGCCCCTGTTTATGAACAAACTACACTTATACAGCAGGCGCATGCATGCTGCTTTCAAGTGTACGTACACCTGAAAGCAGCATGTACAGGCACAAGCGCAGCAGGTTTGTCTCTACATGAGCTGAGGAGACACCTAAACGAGGGGACAGCGGGGAGACGCTGAAGCAAAAGGAGACACCAATAGATTTATATCACCCTGCCGTTGCGTCGACGTCCATAAAACACATATTCACCCCTGACAGGCGCTGCTGCTGCTGTTGCTGCTGCTGCTGTTGCTGCTGCTGCTGCTGCTGTTGGTGCTGCTGCTGGAAGGGGTCGTCGCATTCGAGTCCGGTGCCTTCGTCCGCGTCCCTATTCATTTTAGCTGCTGCTGTTGCTGCTGCTGGGGTATACTTTGCGTGTAGCAGCAGCTGCTGCTGCTGCAGCGGCGGAGAGCCTGCAGCGGGACGCACAGCAAAGAAGACTGTCTCCTCGGGGCCTTGCGGTGGAGGGCAGCAGCAAAAAAAAATGACAAAAGAGACAGACAGCAGCAGCAGCGCCTCCCTGCTGCCGCTGTTGCTGCCGAGGGGCCCCACCACACACATCGCAGACACAACAGCAACGCTACTTCTGGGGTGTATGGATGCTATGCATGCATATACACCCCAACAGGATAACAAAATGACATACAAAAATATACAACAAAACAGAAGAACATCCCTCCCGTCTCTCTTGCACCCCACAGCTACCATAGCCCTACAAAGCGGGGGCCCCTAGGAAGCCCCCCCTTGCGCGGCCCTCCTCCCTGAGGCCCCCCTGTGGGGCCCCACAGGGGCCCCACAGAGCCCTAAAGGGGGGTCCCCATATGGGCCCCCCCTCCCTAGGACCCCACAGGGGCCCCCCTAGAGCCCCACAGGGGGACCCCAGCTGAGGCCCTCCTCCCTGGGGGGGCCCCCCCTAGGGCCCCACAGGGGGGCCCCACACGGGGGCCCCCCAGCCTAGCGCCCCGCTGTGCGTTCGTTGCAAGAGGGTTCGTCTGGGGGCTGCATGGCGCGTAGACCGGCGGGGTGTAAAGGAGACAATCGGAGGTGTCCCTCAGGGGGAAGTTGCTGCAACTCTACCCCTGAAGGGGGGGGCCTCTTGCTTCTCATACTTGAGGAAGGAGACAGACTCTCCTCAATGGGGGCCCCAGGGGGCCCCTCCTCTGCAACAGCAGCAGAATCCAAAGGGAATGAAGGAGCAGGGGGCCCCCCCCGCACATCGCTAACCGGAGGAGACGAACTCCCCAGCCAACGCGGTGTACGTACACCCGAAGCTGCATGCGCAAGCCAGGCTACAAGACCACCCTCGCCCCCGCTGCGTCTCTCTCCAGCAGCAGCAGCAGCAGCAGGAACAGCAGCAACATCAGTAGACGCTGTTGCTGCTGCTGCTGCTGCTGTTGCTGCATTGGTGGGCGCTGCGCACTGCACAGCTTGAGGTGTATGTACAGGTGAAGGCGGCGCACCCTCTCGTATATCGACGATCCCGTCTCGAGCTGCTGCTGCTGCTTCACTGTCTCCTAAACCCTTTCCCCTGCGCAGCAGTAACAGCAGCAGCAACTCCAATATAGAACCAACAGCAACAGTAGAAGCAGCAGCAGAAACAACACGAGCAGCAGCTCACTTGCGCTCAGCCGCAGCTCCGAGGTAGCGGTGCAGCAGGCGTAGTTCTTCAGCTTGCAGCCAGCAGTGCCTGCAGCAGCAGCAGCAGGATCAGCAGCAGAGGGGATACTATGCTAGTAGCACAGCAGCAGCCTGTGGGGTCTGTAGCTAGCTAGCTAGCTGCTGCTGTCTCCGCACTGTCTCCTCACCGCATGCGCAGCAAACGCTTAAACTCCAACTCCATCTTCTGCCGCGCGTACTCAGCAAACTCAGCGCTGCATGGGTTGCCTTCATGCAGCCTGCACACCAGCTCGTCCTGCAGCAGCAGCAGCAGCAGCAGCAGCAGCAGCAGCAAGAGCAGCAGCAGCAATAGCAGGAAGGATAGCCATACACGAAACGCCCCTCGCAGCAGCAGCAAAAATGACGGGGCTTATCATCCAGCAGCAAGAAATAAACACGCGGCAGCAGCAGTAGCAGCAGAAGCAACAGCAACAGCAGCAACAACAGCAGCAGCAACAGCAGCAACAACAGCAGCAGCAACAGCAGCAACAAAGCTTACTTGCTGCCTCTCGTGGTGACCCTGAGCGCCGCTCCCCTCAGCCGCTCTCCCCCGCAGCAGCTCCAGCAGCCTCTTCATATAGTGCTGCCTGCGGGCTGCAGAAGCAGCAGCATCAACAGCAGCAGCAGCTGCTGCTGCACTTGCACGAGGGCCAAACAGCACCAGGCGTAGCTCCAGCAGCAGCAGCTACAACACCAGCAGCAGTAACAACAGCAACAGCAGCAACAGCAGCAACGAGAATGCTACCTTACCGCCAACCTGTGCTTGAAGGCCCTCGATCTGTGCTGCACTTAGAGACTCAATATCTGCTCCCTGTAAATTCTGCTGCAGCAAACGCGAGATGTCAAAGGGAGCTGCTGCTGCAGCAGCAGCAGCAGCGCTGCTTGCAGCATCCCCAGCAACATGTTGCTGCTCCGGAGACGGCAGCAACTGCTGCAGAAGAGACTTTGTGGGGTCTGGTTCCGTGCTGCTCCCCACTCCGGCCTTATACCGCAGCCTGCTGTTGCTGCTGCTGCTGCTACTGCTGCTGCTGCTGCTTCTGGGACGCAAGCTGCAGTACGGTGATGGAGACCCGCTGAGCCGCCGCACTCGCAACTCATTGAGGAGAGGAGGCAGCTGTGCTGCAGCTGCTGCTGCAGACTGGTCGTCCTGCAGCAGATCCTGCTGCAGCAGCTGCTGTTGCTGCAGCTGTTGCTGCAGCTGCTGCTGCTGCTCCTCCGTCTGGGGGCACTGCTCCGCTGCGTCAGCGTCTACTGCCATCCTGCGGGTATCAAAGGGCGACTCCTGAGCAGCAGCAGCAGCAGCAGCTGCTGCTGCTGCTGCTGCTAGACCTGCTGGCTCTTTCATAAAGATAAGTGTCTCCCCGTCGTCCCCTAAGATTCCGCGTTTGCTGCGCTGCTGCTGCTGCTGCTTCCTCAGCCAGGACTTGCGGAGCGCTGAAGTGTTAATGCCAGGGGTACCTGGGGGTCTCCTTTCACCAGGAGACTGTTTCTGCTGCTGCTGCTCCTGCTGCTGCTGCTGTTTGCTGCGGAGGGCAGTGCGGGTGCTGGGTGTCTCTGCTGATACCCCGTGGAGACTTTGTTTCCGTCCGGGGGCTGTTGTCTTCCTTGCTGCAGCTTGCTGCGCTGCTCGCTGCTGCTGCAGCTCTCTGGCGGTCATTGGGAGTTCGCCTCTTCCTGCTGCTGCTGTTTCTGCATCTCCAGCATCTGCAGCAGCAGCAGCATCAGCAGCAGCAGAAAGGGGTGATCCGCAAGCTGTAGACTTTGACAGACGAGACTGCCGAGGAGACAGCGTAACTTCTCTTGCAAGCCTCGAGGGGCCCCTGGGGCCCTGCAGTGGCTGCTGGAAAGAACCCAAAGGAGACGGTGGGGGCAGCTGCAGCAGCACACACGCAGCAGCAGCAACTCCTGCTGACCCCGGGATAAGCAGCAGCAGCAACAGCTAAACAGCACCGGCAGCTGTAGCTGCAGCAGCAGCCGCTGTAGCAGCAGCAGCAGCAGCAGCTGCTGGGGATATCTATCTTACTCCTGTAGCTTCCTGCATGCGGCGGGGGCTGTTTGCTTCCGCTGCTGTTCTTTTTGCTGCTGCAGCGTGGGCGCTCAAGGCGGTTTTCCTGGTGACACCTGCGCTCCTAATGAGCCTGGACCTGCTGCTGCTGCTGCTGCTGTTGCTGCTGCTGCTGCTGTTGCTGCTGAGATTAGAGGGGGCAGACGTCAAGGAGACACTTGAATTCAGGATAGGGGATCCAGAGCCCGAGGCCCGGGGGCCCCTACGGAGGCCCCCATAGGGCCCCAGAGGAGTTGGAGGAGGGAGACGAGGAGACACCTGGCAGGAAGGGAGCAGCAGATCGCTGCTTTTAATAGGAGACAGATCGTCTACTAGAGACGAGCCTCCTACTAAAGGGCTCAAAGGAGACCTCACGTTGCTGTCCCTTCCACCGGCCCCTTGCCCGTGCTGCTGCTGCTGCTGCTGTTGCTGCTGTTGCTGCTGCAGGGTTTCAGTGCCCGGGAGACCCTGCTGCTGCTGCTGTTGCTGTTGCTGCTGCATGCGGAAGTTTTTAACTCTGGAGGCGTATCTGAGTGTGTTTAAAGTTTGCTCGCAGCACGAAGAGGCTGGGGAGACAGTTGCAATCATAACGCTGCGGCTGCTGCGGCCTAGAAGCACCTCCCGCAGCACTTTAGTTAATTCAGAGTCTCTAAAGGGCACATGCAGCTTTTCTTTATCCATAGCTCTTATACATTCTTTTAAAGCTAATAGAGATCTATTAATACCCGCACCGTCTTGCTGCGTCTGCTTCGGCTGCTGTAAAGTATCAGCCCCACGCTCGCTCCCAGCCAAATCTATAAACACCAAACGACCTGCAGCAGCAGCAGCAGCAACAGCAGCAGCAGCAGCAGTAGTGGTAGGAATAGGAGGAGTAGTAGGAGAAGGGGGGGAGAGAAGGTGCAGTGAAGAAGAAAGAGTAATAGCGGAGAGAGACAGACAAGCAAAAACAAACAAATAAATCAAAGAGATGTTTGCTTCACCATGCCGAGCAGTTTACGCTTAGGGGCACAGCATGCATGCATATAATAAATATATGTATATTTATAATATACATTATATGTAATTGCTGTTGCTTCTCCAGCAGCAGAAGCAACAGCAACAAGAAGAGCAGCAGCAGAAGTAGCAGCAAGAGAAGCAGCAGCAGCATACCAACAGGAGCATCCGCATGATCAGAGGCACCAGAAGAAGCAGCAGCAAGAGCAGCATCACAAGCAGCAGCAGCAGCAGCAGCAGCAGCACCCTCACCTGCGACTTTGGATTGCTGGTTGCGGATATGAATCTGCAGCACTGCATGCGACCGCGAGGATTCATCATTGACGGAGTTTGCTCCTACAACAAACAGCTGCAGCAACCCAACAAGCCTTGCAGCAGCAGCAGCAACAACAGCAGCAACAGCAGCAGCAGCAGCAACGGCAGCGGCAGCAGCAGCAGCAGCAGCAGCAGCCGCAACTCACCGATCCGCCTCAACTCCATTCCACCCACAATTCGCCGCAGCAGCTCTTCTTTGCTGCCTACCTCATCCTCTCGCAAATCTGCAGCAGCAGCAGGAGCAGCAGCAACAGCAGCAACAGCGCGATCATTCAAGCGCAGCCCCATAATAAGAACAGCAGCAGCAGCAGCAGCAGCAGCAGCAGCAGGGGAGCACCTTTGACAACAACTTCTTTCTTGCCGTTCTCCAAAGCAGCAACGAGCTTCCTGAAGCAATTCAAAGAAACAGCAGCAGCAGCAGCAGCAGCAACAGCAGCAGCAGCAGCAGCACAACACCGCGACCCGTCAATCGCTGGAGTAAACCCGCAGCACGGCGCCCACATTTCAGCAGTACCACAGATAGCTGCAGCAACAGCAACAGCAGCAGCAGCAGCTGCAGCAACAGAAGCACCAGCAACAGGAGCAGCAGGAGCAGCAGCAGCAGCAGACCTATCTTGCAGCAAGTCAAAGAGTCTGCCGTTGTAGATCTCAAAGAAGGAGACATGCACCGTCTTCTTATCTTTTTCTTCTCGCATATATTGAAATATGTCGTGACAAGCCAACGCGAATACCCCCTCTGAGCCAACGCAAACCCTAAACCCTAAACCCTAAACCCTAGGCAGGCTTCAGCATATGGGTTAACCCTAAACCCTAAACCCTAGGCAGGCTTAAGCATATGGGTTGTAGTATTAGGGTTTAGGGTTTGAATAGGGGGGTAAGCGGGGTTTAGAATTTGTTCAGGAAAATTAGGGTTTAGGGTTTGGGTGGGGGAGTTAGTGTTTAGGGTTTGTTGAATAAGGGTTAATGCATTTTTGCTTGGTCTACATTTGAGGTTTTATGTGCATCGCTCATTAGGGTTTAGGGTTTAGGGTGGGAAACTGCATTTTTGCTTGCTATGAGGGTCTACATTTTGAGGTGTTGCATGCATCGCTCGTTAGGGTTTAGGGTTTAGGGTTTAGGGTTTAGAGTACGATCTTGTTGGGGTTCTGCTCCGTTTCCTTGGGGCCCTAACATAGTAAATGTCTTTCCGCTTCCTGTTTGACCGTAAGCAAAGAAGGAGCAGCTGGCGTCGCTGCGGCAGCAACTCTCTACTAAGGGCAGCACCGCCTGTCTGTACACCTCAGCGTTGCATGCAAACTCATCAAAGACGCGGTCCACGCGAAACTCGTGACGCTGCACATATGGAGTCAAATCCACCTTCTCCCTGCAGCAGCAGCAGCAGCAGCAGCAGCGGCAGTGTGAGCAGTGGCAGCAGCAGCGAGATTGACGAGGTGTATGCAGCAGAAACAGCTACTTCTGCTCCGGCAATATCATATACACCCCAGAGCTGCATATACACCTGAGAGCTGCATATACACTAGAGAACCGCATATACAACTGAGAGATGCATATACACCTGAGAGCTACGTATACACCTGAGAGCTGCATATACACCCCAAAGCTGCCCGTGCACCGCAGTTCTTACCTAGGCTCGTCTACGATGATTGTCTGTCCCCCTCTGACTCTAACGAGATCCGTATCTTTCCTCATCACCTCCAACGCACTCAAAGGCCTCTTACGAACCACCACAGCAATACGTGGCAGGGGGCCCCCTGGGGGGCCCCCAGGGGGGCCCCCCTGAGCCTCCCCCCCACTGACCGACTGGGGCTGTGCGCTCTGAAGCCAGAAGGAGCAAAAGGAGACAAAGGAAGGAGGGACAGAAGGTGTAGAGACAGCTGAGAAGCTGGGTGGGGCTGATGTGTCTCTATTCATTGTTTGTGCTGCTGTCTCTTCGTGAAGAGACAGCACCAGCGGGGCCCCGAATATGAGTGTATTCTAAGAGGTTAAAGGGGCCCCAAGATACAAGAGACAACAAGAGACAGCTGCAGCAGCAGCAAATTGAATTACCTCTTCAGACTTCATTGGTTAAGGCAGCAGTAGAAAGGAGACAAAAAATAAAAAGGAGACAAAAGGACAAGGAAGGGACGCGGGCCCCTCTGCTGCAGCTGCAGAACTTACAGGGCCCCCAGCTGCTGCTAAACCCCCCTATCAGCTTTCTCTGCTGCGTGCGGTGCTGCTGCTGAGGTGTACATACACCTCACCGTGCAGAGTCAGCTACTGGGTTGCCTTCAGGGGCCTCTCTTAGAGACAATGCAGCGGCTCGGGAGAGAGACTGCAGAGAATCTGTCGGCGAAGGAAGAGAGGGGAGATCAACCCACTACAGCTGAGGGTTTAGGGTTTAGGGTTTAGGGTTTAGGGTTTGGTGGCTGACGGGAGAGGCCCTCTCGCCCTCCCGCCTGGGCGCCCAGCAGAGGGTGCCGCAGGGTTTGTCCTCGTTGTGTGTTTCAGAGGCACCGACTAGGGTTTATAAATTAGGGTTTAGGGTTTAGGGTTTAGGGTTTGGGAGGGGCAGTTGCTGCTGCTGCTGCGGAGGGACAGGCAGCAGAGGCGACAGATAGGAAAGAGGAGTTGAGGCCCCTTAGCTCCTGTTTCTTCTGTTGCTGCTGCTCCTTTAAATGCTTAAATGCTTCATTATTTGCTGTGCTGCTGCTCTTTCTTGCTGCTTTAAGGGGGCCCCAGACAGCTGCAGCAACACCAACAACCCCACGGCTGGCCGCTGCCGACCTCTGTATACACACTCATTTGCGCTGCATGCAGGGGGCCCCCTTATTCTTTTTCTTTCTTTTCTCTCCTTTTTAAATATATCTTCTAGTAGAATTAGCAGCAGAAATAAGATTGGGGGGCCCCCTAGAAGGCCCCAGCAACCCCGCCGAGTGCTTCATACAAAGCCTTAGGGAGTAAAACAGGTGTATCTGCAGCTCTTCTCTTTGGGGTTTGTTTAGATTGTAGGGGCCCTTAAGAGGCCCTGTGCTCTGGGGTGTATGTGCAGCTTCGTCTGCTGCTTCAGGAGGGTTGCAGCACTATAACTGCATTGGAGGGCCTCACAGCCTTAGCAGAGGGCCATCATACATTGCAGTAGTCTCGACAACAATTATAATTTCAGTGGCATTGTTAAATAGCAGCAGATACACTCGCCTCCTGTCTCCATATATGCTGCGTACAGCAGCCAAAGGGCCTGGCCCTTGTGGTTGTTTCTCAAAAGAGAGGCAGGCCTCTCCGGGGTCTCAGCACTTGTTGCTGCAAGAACTGCTGCAAGGCAATCTTGCATGCAAGCATGAGGCCGAAGCCCCATTTGCTGCATGCATTAATACTGCAGGCAGTTGTTAATCATATTCCTTGTCCCCCGGTAGGCACCCTGTAAGCAAGTACAAATACTTACAACTTCACAGAGATTAGGCTGCAGTCCCTAGCAATGAGACAACCCAGCAATGCTCTGCTAGTGTTGTTTGGGGGCCCCAGTGATGCAGAGTTTTAGGGGGATTGTGTATAGGGCGTCCACACCTTAGGGAGGTTCTTTGGAAGAATCTCTGAGTGGTGGTGATTGGCTGTTTGCAGTTTGTTGTCCTAAAAGCAGTCTGAAGGACTCAAGAGAAAGCCCGGAGACAGGAGACAGGAGACAGAGACATCGTGCAGCAAAGCTGTAGGAGCGCAGCTGTCTCCTTGATGCAGCAAATATGGCTTTGAGAGAAAAGAGGCGGTGCTGCAGACAGAAGAGTCTAGTGGATGCGTTCTGCTGCTTCAGCGTTGATTATACAATTGTATAGTAGCCCCGTTCATTCACTAATATGGCCACCCCCTGGGGTTAGAGGCCCTCCTTTAATGGAGACAGCTCTGAGGGCTCTATCGGGCAGGTACACCTTCACGAGCATGTAGGGTTTAGGGTTTAGGGTTTAGTGTTGCCAGGTGCTCTTCTCCCCAGGGGAAGGGGAGGGGGGCTGTTAACGTCACGAGAGGCGACTGCAGGCGCAGCTTCTTCCAGAGGACTCTGCTGCTCGCGCGTCCACCCCTCTTGATGCTTAGAAGCAGACAGGGGGAAGGAGGCAGAAACAGAGACAGAGATGCATATATACACGGAGACAGAAATAGAGATGATGGAGACACTCATGGAGGAGGAGACAGAGTCAGGCGCAGATACCTCGATGTGGCAGTGCAATGCACACCACTTGGCCTATATCTCAGCTGCGCTGTTTACATCCGCGCCTCCATCCCCCGTTACTGAATCAAGAGGGCACGTAAATACTCTTGAAGAATTGTTTTGCATAAGCGACCCTCAGAAGCCCATTCCTTTTTTCGGCCCCACTTAATCTAATAATACTACTTCTTTTATGCTGCTTCTGCGAGTTGTTACATGTGCATCTAGTATATCGGGTGTCTCCTGTTGCTCCTTCTCTCAATGGCGGTGCTATCTTTTCGTTGGGGGAATTCGGAGACAGTTCAGTGACTCCCAGAACCCTTTTGAAAAAGCAGCTTTAAAGCTGTGGTGTCATATCCACGTTAGGGGTGAGCAGAGTATGCAAGCCAACGCGTAAGCCCGAGAACGAACAGTGAAAGGCCGAACCAACGCACGGCAAAAGTCTTCGGTTAATGGATCCTCTTCGCTCTTCTTAAATAGAGTATAGACCCAGCAGTGCTTTGTTGTAGGGAGAGTGCGTTAGCAACTATGTTGTTGGCGCCCCTGCAACGCGTGGCTGTACATTCCCCACAACACGGAATGCGTGGTTAAGACGCCAGGTCCGCCAGCGATTGATGACGGGTTTTACAGATGGGATAATTGCTTAAATGTTTAAGGGTAATGACTACACTTCATTACGCTTCACCTGGGAGTTTAGAGCTCCTCCTTTCGTTCCGGACACTTCTGCTCTCTCCCCGTGAACAAGTGTGAGTAGCGGGCGCTTATTTGGTGCTTTCTTTAGTAGCTGGCTTGAAAGAAGGCCTCACCCCAACTACTCTATCATTGGAATGGACTGCTAGGAAGAAGTGTTTATCAACATCGGGAGACGCAGGCGATCTCAGGTGTCTGATGAGGCTTCTGGTGTCTTCGCCTCCGGTCGCTCTTCAGGGGAGCTGTCTGTCCTTATTGAGTAAATCCATTGAAGAGACAGTCGAATGATTGAATGCAGAGACAAGCCTCCGGTATTGCAATGATCAATGAACTTAAACAGACGTCCGCATACAGGGATAGCAGCCACCTCAAAAAGGCCTTTATCTTCACCAGATCTGACTCGGCACCCGCCGCATATGCATGCAACCCTAAAACACTAATTGCTCGAATAAAGAGCTTTGAAGACCTTTACAAGCCCCTGCAACTCACTTACCAGTTGTAGAGTACACCGCGGGTGCAGCAAATATTCCTGCACATTTCTGTATCGTGCAGGCCATGCCTCTCTCGATGGGGGCAGCCCTACTACATAGCATTGTTACAGAAGGTCCGGGCCCACCTTTGGGCTCCTGTTCAATAAGAACTAGTGCGTCTCGTTGCAGGGTTATATATATAGCTTCCCTTGTATAAAATTTTAATTTCAATTTCTTAATAGCATTTGCTTGCCGCAGACCTGGGAGACAGTCCTGCGTCGCAGCACATGACGGACATCTCCCATAGTTTAGCTGCGCTGTGAAAGAGTGGTAGAATGCTTAGATAGTGCTACTCCTCTAGTGTCTCCCCTTTTAATAAAGTCCCCTCTAATAGTACCTGTAGCCCTTTAGGGTATACAACTCCCGATACAAGTACCCACGCTCCACCCATAAATATCTTCAAGGTCGGCTAAGGAGCCACCTTCACATCATTGGCCTTTGTTATTTACAAATACATTTTTCTCCTTATTATAATGCAGATATTGCTCATACTTTTATGCGATGAGGCTCTCAGATATTGATAGCCCCCAACGGGACAGCAAACAACTCGAGTCTGCGCTATGCAAGAGAAGAGGACTGCTGCAGATTTCACGAAGACTTCGAGTATAATATCTAAAGAGATTTTAGGGTTTAGGGTTTAGGGTTTAGAGTTACTAAGCAATGAATGCTATACACCAGGCGTTGTTGGGGTCCCTGCTCGCACCCCCCGCTTGCTGCATGCGGCGCTCCTTAGTGTAGCAAGGGTCATTGTTGTTAGGTGAGAACCATCTCTAGCTCAAATAGACTTATAATCTTTCAATGCTTATGTTTAAATTGAACAAAAATTCTTGTTTTATAACGAGACTATGAAGCGCCAGCAGCCGTTGCGCCTTCCCTACTCACTCTAGCCATAGAAGTACCTCTACTTTAAACACGAAAAGAAAAACAAAACCCCTCCATAGAGATGCCTCTACTTAACAGAAGAAAAGAGCAGCAAGAAAAGCAAGGGGCCACCCTCCCGTCCCCAATCACGCACTGTACAGCAGCAGAGACCGCGATCTCTACTAGCACACCTTACTGTAATTAGTGCTGCTTAGCAACGGCGCATGTAAGCGTAACCAAGCCCCAATTGCTGCATGCACTGACACTGTAGACAATTATCATATGCACACTTCTCCCTCATCAGTCTGCCTGCGAGCAAGTACAGACATCTACGCCCACCAACTACAAGATGAATATACTAGTGGGTATATACTCTACAGAACCTTGCAGCCATCAGACAAGAGACACTCTAACGCTCCTAATGACCCTGTAAGGGCTGTCCTTTGAATCTCTAGGGGCTGGAAGGCTGAGTAGTGAGGCTTGAACGGCCCTGTCTCCTTGCTTGCTTTGCGGTGGCGAGGAGACAGAAGCAGTGGAGCGACAGCTGGGAGTCCCTATAGGGGCCTTATTCGACTGTCTCCTCGCCGCTTCTGAGGGACAGAGGAAACAAATTGAAGGAGGAAAAGATTCTATGCTTGGAAGGCTGCAGCTACTGCAGCTGCTGTAGCTGCTGCAGCTGCTGCAGCTTGTGCTGCAGCTTGTGCTGCTGCACGGCCCGGGGAAGGAGACACATGGGCAGGTGTCCCCTGATCAGAAGAGCGGCAAACATTCCTTCCTGAGGCCCCTACATACCCCGTCTCCCTTCTATAAGAAGCAGCAGCAACAGCAGCAGCAGAGGCAGCAGCTCTGCAGCAGAAGGTGGGAGGGCCCCTGTCTCCGAGCAGCAGCAGGGGGCCCCGCTGCTGCTGCGGCGCCCAAAGATCTGTTAGGTTTAAATAAACATCTTGATGTCTTCCTTTGTCTTAAGTACAACTGTTTATAAATAACACTCTGGCATCGTTAGGCAGAGCAGCAAAAGAGGAGGAGCAGCAGCAGCTGCTGCTGCAGTGGTGTGTTGCTGCTCTCGCCAGCAGCAGCGGTCGCAGCGGCTGCGCAGCAGCAGCAGCAGCAGCCGGGGGCCTCTGAAGGAGACAGGGAGATGAAGCTGTCTTTGTTTGTGATTTAGGTAGAGTTTTTTGTCTCTTTTACTTCTTCTGTCTCCTACAACTCTCACGTGTACATACAGCTGCAGCAGGTCTGCTGCAGCTGCTGCCGAGGCTCGCACTCCGCTGCCTTCTTCTGATTTACCGATCTCTTTAGTATTTTCTAGAGTTTTTTTTTTAATTTTTATTTCTATACTTTGCAGGCGGAAGGTATAAGAAAGGGCGTTTAAAGCCCCCTGTCTACACACACACATACATACACCTCATTACACTGCAGCAGGGAGGTCCAGCGGTCTCCTGCTGCATCTCTCTTATCCTTCTGCTGTCTCTAAGAGGGACTCAGCCTACAGCAGACTCATCAGCAGCACCGCTGCTTGCAGCACCCACAGCAGCAACTGCTCCACCAGAAGCAACCGCAGCAACGCAGCAGTCACACCAAACGCAGTAGCCGCAGCAGCAGCTATAGCAGCAGCAGCAGCAGCAGCAGCAGCATCAACAGCAGCAGCAGCTACAGAAGTAACCGCAACGGAGCCAACACAAGCAGCAACAGAAGAAGAAGCGGGATCCGCCACACCATAAGTAGTACCAGCACCAGCAACAGCAACAGCAGCAGCAGCAGCAGCAGCAGCGCAGCAGCAACGCAGCAGCAGCTGCAACAGCTGCAACAGCTGCAGCGCCTGCAGCTCCCTCTACCACTTCGCTGCTGGCCCAACGCCTCCCGTTATTATTATTGTATTTCTGGGGATAGGAGACACCTTCAGCACTTGCTGCTGGAGACAGCAGCAGCACGCTGCTGCTGCGCAGCACGGCTTGCAGCTTTGCTATGGTAGTATTATTTTGCTGCTGAGGCGGCAGCCTTTTATTTTCTCCTTCTGCTGCTTATTGCGGATTCAATGCTGCACGGAGACACTCACGCCTCTAGGCACTTGCTGTTCGCCTCTGCAGCGGTCCCTAGAGCGCTGCAGCAGCAGCCTCACCATCTGCAGCAGCAGCAGCAGCAGGCTTTTGACCAGCAGCAGCACTGCCAGCAGGAGCAGTAGCACGAGCAGCAGCAGCAGCAGTACTAGCTGCATCAGCAGCATCCTGAAGCGCGCCACGAGCAGCCGCAGCAGTCTCAGTGGCAGGAGCAGCCGAAACACGCCCAGCAGCAGCAGCAGCAGCAGCAGCAGCAGCAGCAGCAGCAGGGGCTTTTATTGAAGATGGCAGCAGCACTGATATCGTTATTGAATGAAGCAGCGGGTGAATACGTTGAGTGCCTAGACAGGAGTCAGCTTGACTTCTCTGGTGCTTTAAGGGGGAAGTTGTTGCTGCGGCATTTGCAGTTAAAAGAAAAGATATTTGCTTCTTTAGGGCTTCCTATTGTACTTGAGTTTAATTATATAGGGTTTGTAGAAGCAAATATCTCTGTCTATGCATTGGGTAGCTCTCCTATACTTGCAGAGGTCAGGGATGTATTGCTGCTGCTGTCTATACAGCCGAGCGAGCAGTGGAGTGCTGACTCATTTCTTCAGGGTTATCCGCAGCAAAAAGCAGCAGCATTAGCAGCAGGAGAGTATAAAGCTTTGTTTTCATCCTTTGAGGGGGGTTTGCTGTGGCAGTTGCTGCTGCGGCTGCTCTCAAGCTTCACTGCACGTGTACGTAATGTACACCTCAGAATCGAAGACAGATGCAGCATCAGCAGCAAGCCATTCGCTATAGGTATTTGTTTAAAAGATGCTGTTCTGCATGCAGCCCCAAGAGGAGGGGACTTCGCAGAACAAGGTGTATGCCGATCTAATGGGGGGCTAGCTGATGATACTTTCTGCAAATTTATTTCTATTGATGGACTTGGTATATACATTGATTCATTAGCTGTCCCTCCATCAGTCTCTTCCCTGTCTCCTGAAGGTGTCTCCTCGCGGCACAGGCAAAGGAGACAGTCAAGGGCAACAAGAAGAAGCAGCAGCGGCAGCACCAGCAGCAGATTTAGGGCCCATTCAGCAGCAGACACACGCAGCTATAACGAACGCTGCAGAGAGGCTTATGAGGCTATTACCGCTCAAGTGCTGCAGGAGGAGACAAACGGAGACAGCAGAGGAGACAATGGGTTGCTGCTGCATGCACAAGAAGGAAAGGGAGACCCCCTCGCTCTCCACCTTCTTGCACAGAAGGCCCCTTGGAGTAGGGCGCAGGGGAGACAGCAAAAGGAGACAGTTCGCTGCTCGCCGCTGTCTCCTTTCTGCTGCAACGCAGCTTCCTCTCAGTCTCATTCGTGGGAGGAAGACCAACTGTCTCCTTCTACTTCCTGCATAGAGTGGCGGCGCCCCTCTGTTTCTGAGCTTCACCTCAGCAGAGACAGCAGCAGATGCAGCAGCAGCAGCAACAGCAGCAACAACGAAGACAGCAGCGATCGCAGCAGAAGCAGCAGCAGCAGCAGCAACGAGGAGACTACAGAAGGTGTCTCCTCCCCCTCGCGGAGACGGGTGACCCGCATCCCTGGACAGACAGACAGTTGGGTTCCTATACTGCGTCGCTACTGCTGCAAGCGCACCCCCACAGTCAACCCTGCTGCTGCTGCTGCTGCTGATGGTGCTCCTTCTGCTGCTGCAGCTGCAGACGGCTCCCCTGTCCGCAGCAGCAGCAGCCAGCAGCAACGTGGAGACACCCGCAGGCTCCGTTCCCATGGGTTTAATTCATTAAAGAGTTTTTCTTCTCTTCAGGTGTCTCCTAAAGAGGGTCTCCAGAGGGGAGGGGGCCCGGGGCCCCCCTCTAGCTTTGTTAGGAGACCCTCCTTCTTACCTCCTGTCTCCTCCGCGAGGAATGGGGGACCCAGGGAGGAGCTGCAGCAGCAGCAGTCAGAAGCAGCAACAGCAGCAGCAGCAGCTGGAGAAGCAGGCGATGCTGCTGAGTTCAGGGAGGCCCTAGAGCAACTCCCCAGCGAGCAGCATGAGGGCCTCCGCAATATCTACAGCAGCAGGAACAGCAACAGAGCAGCAGCAGACCAGACAGCAACAGCAGAAGACGGCTTCTATGACGCAGAGGAAGCCCCTCTTCCTGAAGGAGCAGCAACAGCAGCAGCAGCAGCAAAGCAACCCTTGGAAGCCTCGTCTGAGCCGACGCCCCTTCCACACCAACAACAGGAGCAACAGCAGCAGCAGCAACAGCAGCAGCAGCAGCAGCAGCAGGAAGCTGAGCATATGCAGCCGCTAGACAAGGAGAGGCTGGAGGAGTTTAGGAGTTTTCTGTCTTTGTTGTGGGACATACGCCATGAATATGTTTTGTGTCCTGACACCTTTAGGGTAAGGGGTTTCTGTCTCCTTTTGTCTCCTTTTGTCTCCTCCTGTCTCCTTTTGCCTCCTTTTGTCTCCTTTTGTCTCCTTTCGTCCTTATTTGTCTTCTTTTATCTCCATGTGTCTCCTTGTGTCTCCCTCTGTTTCCCTTTGTCTCCCTTTGTCGTTTGTTGTCTCCTGTTGTCTCCTTGTCTCTCCTGTTGTCTCCTTTTGCCTCCTCCAGTCTTCTTTTGTCTCCTCCCGTCTCCTTTTGTCTCCTTGTGCCTCCTTTTGTCTCCTTTTATCCCCATTTGCCGTTTGTTGTCTCCTTCTGTCTCCCCTTGTCTACGTTTGTCTCCCTCTGTCTCCTTTCTGTCCCCTTTGGCTCTGCTCGTTCATGCGGGGGCAGTCAGTGCTTCGTCTGACTCCTGCAGCTCTGCATCTGTCTCTTACTGCATGCCTTACTTGTTTTTGTGTATACTTTATAAAGTCTGTTTCATTATGTAAATGTATTATAATGCATGCGTTTAATTATGTGTATATTTTATTAGGTGTATGCTTCTGTTGGCTGTCTATGTATATCTGTGCACGTATTATAATGCATATACATATATATATATATATATATGTGAAATATATAGTAAATAATATATTTGTATATATATACACATATATTTATATGGGTATATATATATACATGCATATATCTATGTATATATATATATATTTATATGTATATATTCTGTGTGTAACAAAGCAAAAGCCTTATTAACTGAGATTATATGTGATATATTTTTTAATCAGGGCCAAGCGAAGTTATTCTTAACGCTGGTGCCGACACTGCCTCCCGATGGGCCCTTAGAGCGTTGCTGGAGCCCTTGGGGACAGCAGCGAGAAGCAGAGCGTCTTGAGAAAGAAAAAGAAGACAAGAAGCCTCCCTCTTCACTTCCTTCTTGCACTCTTTTCGTTACTTTACCCGCACTTAAACTCACACTCGAAGCTACACAGGCACTTCAACTCTGGAAATGGCTTGAATTCTGCTTCATACTACACGGTACCTAACCTACATGCATTTGCATGCATGCAAATGCATGCAAATGCATGCATGCATGCATGCATGCATGCATGCATGCATGCATGATGTTTAGTTTGCATGGATACACGGATGCATGCATGTGTCGGTGCTGGGCAGTTTTCATGCACGCATGCATGGGGATGCATGCAAATATGCTGTGCAGTTTCCATGCATGCATGCATACATGTATTCATAGAGCGTAGACTGCATGCATGCATGCATGCATACCTATTTGCATGCATGCATGCATGTCTATTTGCATGCATGCATGCATGCCTATATGCTTGTGTTTGCGTTGCATGCTCATACACTTCGTTTGAAGTATAAATATATATATATATATATTTCTTGTGGTTATTTGTTTGTTTTTCTTAGGGGCTTGGCAGGCAGGTCTGTTGGGGACTTTAGAGAAGGCCCGTGCGTCTCCAGGAGACACTCAAAGGTATCTCCTTTGCTGGCCTGTGAAGCTGCTGCGGTGTCCCCAACCTGTTGCTGTGCTGCGCGATGCTGAGCGTCTCCTTGTCTCTCAAGATGATGAAGAGCTAGCATCAAAGAACGAGACAGGTGTGCTTTTGCATCAACCCAAACACCAGCAGGGGCAGCAGCAGCAGCAGGGGCAGCAGCTGCTGTGCGAAGATGAACAGCAGCAGCACGGAGAAGAAGATGTGCTGGAGGGACTCGATACACTTGAAGCTGTTGATGCCTTCTGCAACTCTTTCGAAGAGAGACACTCTCTACAAGTCATCTGGTGCGCCCTCTCTCTCCCCCTGTGTGCATGCATGCATTTAAGTGTGCATAGGGAGGGGCTGCATGCATGCATTTAAGCATGCGCACGTACACGTATATACGCATGCATGCATGCATACATGCATACATGCACAGGAAGGTGCTGCTGCAGCGTGTATCGGCGCAGTTCGAGACAGAGGCAGGGGGACATCCAGCAGGAGATTGTCTGCTGGGGTGTATCTGTTTATATTACTAGTGGCGAGATGAATATACACTTGAGTATTTATACGTTTGTGTTTGTGTACTGTTAGTTGTTTGTTTCTTATGTCTTGTAGTAGATGTATAAATATCTTTTTTAAACTGTCTCCTTTACTGTCTCCTTTTGGAGTGTCTCCTTGTGTCTCCTTCTGCAGCGTGCTACGAGCAAAGGCCCTAAGGAGGTTAGTCGCATTAAGAGAACTGCTGGCTTCAAGAGAAGAGAGACAAAGCCCTTGGAGGAGAGCCTGGCAGTGGCTTTCTTGCGGTTTATTCAATAAACAACAAACAGTCGATCTCGCTGCAGCACAAGGAGACCCCAGAAAACTTGCTTCCGCAAGCGTTAGCCTCGTACAGGGACTCATTCAGTGAGCACACTTATATATATATATATATATATACATATGGATATATATATGCATATATATATCCATATATATATCCATATATATATATATATATATATATATATATATA